AAACAAAAAAAAAAAAACACTTAAGGGCGCCTGGGTGGCTCAGTTGGTTGGGCACCCAACTTCGGCTCGGATCATGATCTCGCGGTTTGTGAATTCGAGCCCCACATCGAGCTCTGTGCTGACAGCTTGGAGCCTGCTTCGAATTCTGTGTCTCTTTCTCTCTCTGCTCCTCCTCCACTTGTGCTCTGTCTCTATCAAAAATAAATCAATGTAAAATACATAAATAAATAAGCACTTAAAAGGTACATATTTATAAGAATGAAGGTCCCCAGTCCCTACTCCCCACACCCCCATCAACTTAACCTGAAAATAAACAGGAAACACAAACTGCTTGTCACATAAGCCTGAGATCAGAAATAATATAGGATGCAGTAGTTAAGAATATCCACTTTGGAGGCAGAACTCATCAACTATACGGGGCACCTGGTGGCTCAGCGGGTTAAGTGTCTGACTTTAGCTCAGGTCATGATCTCACAGTCCATGAGTTCGAGCCCCACATCGGGTTCTGTGCTGACAGCTCAGAGCCTGGAGCCTGTTTCGGATTCTCTCTCTTCTCTCTCTGCCTCTCCTGCCCACATTCTTTCTCTCAAAAATAAGCATTAAAAAAAAAAAAAAGAACTCATCAACTATAGAACTTTGTGCTAATACCTTCTTAGCCTTAGTCTCATTTGTAAAGTTTGGGTTGTTGAGAGGATTAAATAGGGTAGAGCATATAAAATGTTAAACATGAACTAATTACAATATTAAAAGTTTAAAGAAATAGAAAAGGATAAAAGTAAAAGAAGCTCATGTGAAAGAATGCAAAAAAGCATAAAGGATAATAGAAGAGAATAAAATTTTAAGTACACTAATAAAAGTTATCAATATATATTTGACTTCTATATGATACATCTTTCTCTCAAGATTAGGGGAGTATAGTATACCCTTCCCATAGGCTAATGTGGTAATTACTGAGCAACTGATTCAGTATTTTCCACCTTGGTATAGATAAAAAAAGTCTGTATTTTTTGATTTACAGTCTGCTTCTTTCCCAGTGGACCTGGCTACCATGAAAAGGCTTTTTGAATTTTTTTTTTTTTCAACGTTTATTTATTTTTGGGTTAGAGAGAGACAGAGCATGAACGGGCGAGGGGCAGAGAGAGAGGGAGACACAGAATCGGAAACAGGCTCCAGGCTCTGAGCCATCAGCCCAGAGCCCGACGCGGGGCTCGAACTCACGGACCGTGAGATCGTGACCTGGCTGAAGTCGGACGCTTAACCGACTGCGCCACCCAGGCGCCCCATGAAAAGGCTTTTTGAATGGGTTGGAAAGAGTGGTGTTTAGTATTTAGATCAGTATTGAAGATTCAAGTTATTAGGCCCAATCTGCATTTTCTATTTGCTATAGAAGTCTTTTCCTCAAAAAGAAAAACCCCTTTTAGCCCCCACCTGTGGCATTAAAAACAGTGCAAATACTGTAGGGCAGTGGCAGAAGGTTGTCATGAAAGGTGTTAGCAGGCTCAAAAATTGGGCAACTCTAAGGCTGAGCTAGTACTAACTGTACTTTGGTGATTTTTAGATCCAGAGTGAGCTACTATGATCTTCTTTTCTACTTTGTGGCCTGGGTAAGCCTACTTGAACCATTAAGTGCTTGAGGATGAACTATTGTTAGAATCAGAGAACCAGGAATTGAGAGAGAGCTCACAGATCACTCCTGATGGGTGAGGAAAGTTGGGCCCACGAGTCTTAATGCTCATCCAACTTAGCAAAACAAAAACAAAATGACTCATAGTTGAACTAAGATCAGAACTGAAGTTTTTTGAATCCAAATCCCATATTATTTCCCAGAGTAAGAACTAGAATCTAGGTTTGTCCTCAGTAAACCAAGAAGGCACGGTCCTTGTCTCACTGAACAGAGAGGATTTCTAATAATAATCTGATGAGCTTACATTTGCTAAACACTAATATTCTATGTGATTTCCCTGTGATAGCTCATTTAATCATTACAACGATTCTATGATGTAGGTACTGTTATTATTCACAGATGAAGACTGAAGCAGAGTTGGTGTCATAAGGCCAAGTATATACAGTTAGTAAATAGGAGTCAGAACTAGTCAGGATTCAAATCCAGCCTGTCTGGCTTCAGAACCCAAGCTCTTAACCACTGACTATACCAATACATAACAAAGCACAAAGTGTGAACAAAGAACTATACAAGGCAGATCAACTGGGAAGCCTTCTGTAAGAATCGAAATTTAAGGTGAGTACAACCTTCAATATGACTTCATCCTAGCAATGAGCAGATGGGAAGCCCCTGGGGCTTATAAGCAGGAGAGTGAGATGATCAGATTGCGTTTTATAAAAAGGCCACTCTAGCTACAGTATATACATCAAAAATTGGAGAAACTCAGTGCCCCAAAGAAGGTGATTAAGTACGAGGCTCAGGCAGCAATGCAAGTAAGAGACAAGGAGACCTTGGGCTAAGAGAGGACAAGGGTCATTGCTGGATTTGAGAGCTTAATGACATTAGTAGCAGTAGGCAGCAGGGACTGGTTTTATGTGGAGGGAAGGGAGTTAAGGGAGAGTTGGAATGAAGAATGGCTCCTGTGTTTTTCATCTGGGCAGATGAATGGTAACGCTATGTACTGAAGTGGGGAGCAGTGTTAGAAGAAAAAGGTTTTGGAGAACAGGAAGGTAACTTCTATTTCAGACCTAAGTTTTCAGTCCATATGAAGCATCCAAGTGAGGCAAACAGACTAAGTTATGTACACCAACAGGTATGGAGCTCAGAAGGAAGGTGTAGAATGGCTATACGTACACTGATACAGTAATGGCATTCATTCATTCATTCCATTTATTGAGAGAGAGAGAGAGAGAGAGAGAGAGAAAGCACAAGCAGAGGAGGGGGCAGAAAGAGAGGGAGACACAGAATCCAAAGCAGGCTCCAGGCTCTGAGCTGGCAACACAGAGCCCGACGTGGGGCTTGAACTTGTGAACCATGAGATCATGACCTGAGCCAAAGATGGACGCTCAACTGACTGAGCCATTCAGGTGCCCCCAGTAATGGCTTTTTTTGTAAGAGTGAAAAATCCTCTCTGGATTTCTTTCAGTTAGGGAGCACAGGCACTAATATAGCTCTTTTTTTTTTTTTTTTTTTTAAATGTTTGTTTATTTTTGAGAGAGACCGAGCACACAGAGAGCGAGAAAGACACAGACTCCGAAGCAGGCTCCAGGTTCTGAGCTGTCAACACAGAGCCTGATGAGGGGATCAAACTGTGAGATCATGACCTGAGCCAAAGTTGGACTCTTAACCAACTGAGCCACCCAGGCACCCCCTCTAATATAGGTCTTTTGTAAAAAGTGAAGAAGCCTGACAAAACTTCAGAAAGCAGGAGATACGCTTCCCTTTACGCCACTTTTGGCTTATGAAAGGTTTCACAGTAATGCTCTATTTTAGATAGCTGGGGAAACCTGTATTTGAAAAGGAGTATACAGAATGATAAAAGACCTTAGGAACTACAGAATTTTAAAGGTTGGGCAGAAAGATACAATGTAAAGTGAAAAAAGGTTAAGATACAAAACACTAAACATGGTGACTAAAACTTTTTCTACATTTACACAGATGCATTTAAGAAACACTGGCCTTAAAATAGGTAGAAATTTGGGTAAATTTAGGACATGTAATACTTGTGACACATGTTTAAAGGGTACAATCTTTCCATAAATGTACTATATTAGATGGCTACCTGCCACTCTTGATTCTAATGACTGTTATCAGATTGGCTACTGATAACTAGGTGTCAGATATTAGCATGACACAAGGATAGTGTCCAGATTCTTGAGACAAGACAACATAAGCCACCAGACTATTTTGTAATGAGAGCTGAAACATAAAAATCAATCAATAAAAGACAAGTACCTCTCTCTTTTTTTAAGTTTATTTATTTTGAGAGAGAGAGAGAGAGAGAGAGAGAACATGAGCAGGGGAGAGGCAGAGAGAGAGAGCAAGAGAATCCCACACATGCTCCGTGCTACCAGCATGGAGCCTGACATGGGGCTTGAACTCACATATCATGAGATCATGACCTAGCCTAAATCAGGAGTTGGATGCTTAACCAACTGAGCCATGCAGGCACCCCAAGACAAATACCTCTTTAACCATGTACCCCTGTATCTTTGCTCTATTAGTGTGAAGAAAAGAAAAAAATTTACATTACCTTATACACTTCACTAAAGCCACCTCTACCAAGCAGATGAAGTAATAAATATCTTTCATTTAACGTTGGGTGATCTTTGAACCTTAAAGGTGGGAGAAAAAGACACTTAGGCATGCAAAAAACACACACAAAAAAGATTTCTTCCACAATAAAGTTCCACTCTCTCTTCTACTACTCTGAGTTATTGTTCTCAGTTACTCCACTATTAATTTCTAATTCCATTCTATACTGCTTTTCTTTCTCTACTTGCATGACTACTTTCCATCTTAACTCTGGTGTTCACTAAGCTGAACATTTACAGCTGAATATTCAAGTTCAACAACCAAAATTATAGCACTCTGATAAAGACTTCTCAACTATCTTATTTCCAAGATCTTTATGAAATCCTGTAACTACTCAGAAGAAATTATTTCCCTTGTAGAAATATACTTTTATATTGAGAGGATGGTTAATCCAGATTTTACAGTATTGACATATGATTAAAAATAATTGTATTTATAAGTTGGCCTTCATACGTGATTAAATTTTACCCTTTGGACTTGTATAAATAAAATTTCAATTCCCAATTAAAAAAAGGAAGCTTTAAAACGAAACTTAAAAATCACTCACAGATAATACTACTCTTATTACTACTTAACACTTATTGCTTCTGCTATATATTAAGCATTCACATGTATTAACTCAATTATTTCTCAGCCAACCCCTTCTAAAGCAGGACTTGCTACCATCTCTTATTTTACAGATGAGGACACCACCACACAGAAAGGTTAACCAACTTGCTCAGGTCAACCAACAGTTAATACATGACTGCACTTAGCAGAAAAATGTGATTCCAAAATGTGTGCCCTTGACATCAAGAAAACAAAACAAAACAAAAACAATGACAGCTCTATTTTTTTTTATTTAAATTTTTTAATATTATTTTTTAAAATTTACATCCAAATTAGTTAGCATATAGTGCAACAATGATTTCAGGAGAAGATTCCTTAATGCCCCTTCCCCATATAGCCCATCCCCCCTCCCACAACCCCTCTAGCAACCCTCAGTTTGTTCTCCATATTTATGAGTCTCTTCTGTTTTGTCCCCCTCCCTGTTTTTATATTATTTTTGTTTCCCTTCCCTTATGTTCATCTGTTTTGAACAATGATAGCTTTATTAACTCCAGGTGCAAATACATTATATTTTGTTCAAAATCAACTGAATATAACTTTGACAATTTTTTTTTTCCTTGAAGAACTTGTTAATAAAAGAGATTCTACTTGTTTTTTTTTTTTTTTTTTTTTTTTTTTTTTTTTTTTCTGTTTAAGTAAACTCTACCCCCAGTGTGGGCTCAAACTCACGACCCAAGATTGAGAGTCACACACTCTACCCACCAAGCCAGCCAGGCACCCCTCTGCTTGGTAAAGCTGTAACAATTCACTTGATTTTCATCAAGTGGACTAAGTCATATCCATAAATAAGTTTGAACATAATTTTCAGAACAACCAACTGTAAATTAGTTTTGTCCTACCTGCTTTATTAGAATTTTCATCTGGTACATTTTAGGTTATTCCATAACTATATCATTTCGTTCACCTTATACAGAAGAATGATCTGTGTATTTATGAATTGTACAAATACAATAATCATGGATAGGCCTTCTTGTAAGCAAGATTATTTATAGTTTACAAGAGAAATTGGCCATTTCCAATTCTGAGATTCAAATTAAGTCATGAAGCTTTAAATGACATGACAAATCTCACAGATAAAGGATAAAAAGACCACCCTTCCTTTCCTGTACATCAGTTAAATCCAAGTAGTGCCTTGCTTAATTTCTATCTTCTTCATAAAGTTCCCACCAGTCATCTCCTCTTCTTTTGAATTTCTTTAGCATTTAGTATCTATGGCACTCATTCTGATAAGCAGGGATTAAGGACAGAGGCTATACCTTGAAACTTCTTTTCTGTTTCTTCTACAGTTTTTGCATAATGATGAAAACACGGCTTACTGAAGTCCCGTTGGTTGAAATAATTTCTCCTTCACTACTGTAATACTAACTTTGGTATTCAGTCAACAAACATTTATTTTGTGCCTATCATGTGCCAGGTACTGGTCTAGACTCTGGGGATACAGCAAGAACAAAACTAAGCCTCGGCTCTCATGTAGCTTATGTTCTAATTGGAGGAGATAGACAAGAACTGAAAAATAAATCTGTAATTCCAGGTAGTGATAGATGCTATGAAAAAATAAAGCAAGGTAATGATACTGAGAGAGGGAATGGAGTGAGTCAAAGACTGCTATTTTAGAGGGTGGCCTAGGGACAGCCTCTCTAATGGTCATTTGGAGTGCAATAAGGAGTAAGCCACTTAGATATTCAGAAGAACAACATTTCAGGCAGAGAAAATGGCAAGCATAAAGGCCTTGAGGTGGGAATGTGCTAGACATGTTTGAGGGGGCCAGCTTATCTACAACATATAAATAAGGGGAGGATGAGAGAGATGAGTGGTGAGGTGGCCAGAGAAAAGATCATACAAGGCCTTCTGAGCCATGGGAAGGACTCTGGATCATTTTCTAAGTGTGATGAGAAGCTACCCAATAAGGAAATATTGTGTTTATGCTCTTCACAGGGAAGAAAAAAACTTTTATCATGTAAAACTGTAAAATATGAATAATGACTTACTGTGAATTATCTTCATTATTTATTCTTTTGAGCTCTCGAATGTGAAGATTTCTGACTCTTTCCAAACGTTCAAGTTCTGCCTGGATTTCTGCCTCTTCCTGAAAATGAAGAGAGGGGACTATAACAAGCTCAATTTATTTGCAATATAAAAAAGATATTTTTACCCATGCATCAATTTTTTACAATGACGGGAAGAATAGTATATTATAAAGTACCACTGAGTTAAAAGACCAAAGTGCACTTTCAATGCCTGAAAGATGGAAAGAGATAAGGCAAAAGCCTATTTCAAGAAACCATCCTCCACATAAAAATCTATACCTAATGAGATGCTGAGTTTTATTCTGTACTACAAGAAATCTATTTTTATAACATCTAAACTGAAAATGACTGCAAGGTAGTCTGAAACTGACTTATAACACAAAATGAGAGCTTTATTTCTGATACATCCTGATTTTAATTTAAGAGGGAATAATTTAGCAATACAAAACAAATGAAATGAAGGTATTTTACAATAGTTAAAAAAAGGAAGAAGACAGAACCACTGATTATTTCTAGGCCTTATAGTGTTTGATATACACAAACATGCACACACATACAATCTGACCACTCAAGTAAATCTGTCTGTAATCATAAAGAGACTAAAATAAAAACTACACGGATAGCTGTGGCAGATCCTCAGTTATTAGAGCAGATAGAGGCAAATCCTAATGAAATTTTCTTTCACATTTGATATAAAATTTTTGAAAATATTTTTCATGTCTCAAAATATACAATTTTGAGAACATTAAAAAAAATAAGATCCCAAATAAACAATCACCGATCTTACATATCTCTTTGTCAATATAAATTTGAATACTACGTAAGGGACAGATAAGAATATATCAAATTTCGGTGGAAAATTCTAGAAATGCCCAATTTTATAGTATTTTTGAATTAGTGTTTGTTGAGGAAATAAACAAATACAAATTGCTTTGGCCTAAATGTGTATCTGCTATCATTATAAATCTATACCACATGGAATAGAGGTTGTTTTTTAGTATTACACTTAAATATTTCTGTATTATATTAGCTCATTTTCTTTTAATGATTTATCTTCTGATTTTAAAAATCCTTTATCTAAAAAGCAATTTTCAAGTTTACTATGAAAATATAAATATCATTTCATTCCAAAGCAAATAATAGAGATATAAAGTCTATAACACCTTTATCTAAGGCTTAAACTGAAAAGAAGATTCTAATTAAGATAAAGAAAAATGTTCACAGATTAAAAAAACTAAATCTAAGTATGTTGTTTGTATTCCACTTGACCCTTGAGGTTATTTTTTTTAATGTTTTAAAATAAAACTCAACCACTACTTGTTACAGAGATATTTAATATAAAGTAAAAATTAGATGACAAATAGAACGTTTACAAATAAATTTAAATGAAGATCAGCCTTCCTAGAATTTTGGAGATCTTTAGAAAATAGACACACTAAAGAGACTGTCTTAATTTAACTGAAACTAATGCACTTAATACAGCTTCAGTCACAAATATTCCTTATTTCAATGAAAAAAAGAAAGGTAATAGTCTAGGGAATTAAATAATTGAAGACTCATTATAAGGACATGAAATAGATGAAAAACTTCTGGAACGATACTCAAATCACAGTTGTCTTAATTTAGTCATATGAAGTACAGTAAGGAACTGGCTGTAGAAAATGTTGGGGAGTATGAAAAAATTCAAATTCATTTCTAGCACAGAACATAGAAAGTGGCAACCTTTTCCTTTCATATTACTAACATTTGCTGTCTTAAAACTTGCCATTAATTTGATTCTTACACATGCAGGAAACTACTAAACACTTGGTAGGCTGGTGGATTTTTAAATATCTGATAAAACCATGAAATGCCTATTAGGATACCAGCTGAAAAAATTGTTTTAACTTTTATTTGAAATTGTGGTAAGGGGATACTATTTCAAAAGTGAATTTACAGAAACTAAATCTTACTGAATCAATAAATATGTAATTATGAGATCCAACTAGATTGTTGACACATAGTTACATGTGCTTAATATTTTTTGTTAATCTTCAGAGGTTTATCCAATGGCAGTAACCAAGATCACAAAATACTTATTAAAGAAGGTAAAATGTCTATCCGTGTCAGTTAAGTAAACTTTTTTATCCTCTATAAAACAAGACAAATATGTCCCATAAAATCTTACAATACAAAAAGCACAGGCAAGCTGCATTTGGTTTGAATTATAAAGTTTACAGGAAAAAACAAAATGATGCCAGAAGCACTAAAAAAAAAAAAAAAAAGCTAGATCCTATGTATTTAAGAGGAAATGTCAAGGGAAGGAATTATAACCAAGTCTTACATACAGATAAATATAAATCCTCTATAGTCAGTGAAATATATTTACAGCTCCCATATTCTAATTTACTATTTATTCCACAGTATCTTGGACCTTAAACCAAAGTGACATACTTCTGGGGGGGAGATAATTCTGCAACTCTTATAAATAATTTCTCTTAAACCCCACTGAACAAAGGATATATACTGTTATGGACTAAAGGTTTGTGTCCCCCCCCAAAATTCCTATGTTTAAGCCCTAAACCCCAATGTGATGGTATCTGGAGATGGAGGCTTTGGGAAGTAATTAGAATTAGATTAGGTCATGAAGGTGGGTCCCACATGATGGGATTAGTGGCTTTATAAGGAGGAAGGGAGAGACATCTATCCTCCCCATCCTGTCCCCTCTTTGTGAGAGCAGAGAATAAGACAGGTGAGGACTTGAGAAGACAGCCATCTAAAACCAGGAAGAGATAGATCCTCACAAGGAAATGAACCTGCTGGACCCTAATCTTGGATTTCCAGCTTCTAGAACTGTGAGAAAAATTTTAAGACACCCAGTCTATGGTATTTTGTCATTACAGCCCAAGCAGATTAATACACATACTTCTGGGCAAATGTTAGGGCAATACTACCTAGTACCCTTTCCTTATATAAAGAGGCAAGACCCAATTTTGGTATGGCCCCAGGGTACAACAGTCTAGAATACAGTAGTCTCATCAACTAACTTCTATTTAGTGCAGATCATTTCCAAATATAAATAATTTATATTTAGTGCAGATCTATCCTACAGACTACACTCTCCTTGCTTGAGATCAACATTAATCTCTGGGCCATCCTCAGAACTAATCATTTTCAGAGGGTTCAGGAGAAGCAAGTATGACCCAGGCTCACAACTAACCTGAGTTCATTACAGAACAGAATCCTCAAACCATGGCAAAACTAGGCAACTTACTAAAATATAAGAGAGATAATCCAAACAGATAGCTCATGCTTAATAAGAATACCAAGTAAAAATTCCGGAGTCATCTACTAGCTGAGCAGTTATCTAGAAGATACAAAGAAATAGCATCTCTGGAAAGGAACTGGTCTCTGTAGGCAATTATGGTACAGAAGGGACATGGGTAAGAAGAGACTGTTTTAGAGAGAGAGGTAGATTTGGTGATCACATACAGTTTTAAAAGGACATGGCTCTTTTCTGTTGAAACAGAAAGCTGTAGCAATGGACAATTTAACAGTATTTCTACAGCTATTTTAACAGTATCTTAAAATAAGCTCTTAATATTCTGAATTAAAAACCAAGTCATACAAGTATACAACAACAGATCTCAATATTGCCTTACTGTTTAAGTAACCTGTGAAACACACCTTCCAAAATTTATAGCTTTTAAATTTTTACGTGGAAGGTAAATTTCACAGCAACTCAACCAAAAACATTTGTCTCTCAGCAGAAGTTTGACACAGAAATGCTTTCTATTTGTAATCAAAGTCTTTTCTTGCAACTTAATGTCCTCTTGGCTCAACACTCTAAGCCAAGTCAGTCACGGTACTAGACAATCTCTGCAAAATGCCAGGTGAAAACTGCTAGGTGAAATTCTGAGCATTTCCCATAATGGCAATTTTTAAAAGAGCAATTACTGAAAGGTGGGGTATGTAGGCATTAAAGCTATAAAGCTTTAAGAGTTATAAAATGCATTATCACAGGTAAAACTGATACATTTCCTGAAAAAATTAAACACCTGAGTTTATATTTCTTTAACAAATCTTGAATATGTTACATGTTATACACACAAAAAACCTCTTTTCGAAGTGCTGCTTTTCTATAAAGGAAGATAAGATAGAAAGGATTTTAATGTATCATTCTCAACTTGCCTATATTCCAAGAGGGTTGGTAAAAAAGAAATTCTGCATAGTGTATTATGAAGATTGTAGGAGAGAAAAAAGCATATCACTTCCAACAGTCTATTCAACAGCACTATAAACGTTGCTTGGTCTAGGAAAACAAGTTCAGAATGAGATTTCAAAAAGTTTAACTCCAAATTCATTTCAGTAATATGAACAAATATTAATCCCTCAAAAGTTAGTATCTGCAGGTCCTCAAATTTTTAATGTCATAAACTATGTCATTCTAAAAGTTTATCACCAAGAAAGGGAAAGGAGAAATTAACAAAAGGCACTATTAAAAGCTAATGGAAAGAAAGGGCAGTGCAGAAAAAAGAATTAAGAAGAAAATCATTACCAGTTTACTTCAACTTTATCCCTATTGTGTGTTCCCAGATTATGTCTATTACATGCTTTCAAATATCCTACCTATGGATGTGAGAGATAAGAACCATTGGAAATACGAACCAACCAACAAACCAAAAAACCATGCAGATAAAGCAAATCTGAATTTATAGAGATTGGTTTTGAAACTATTGCCCATAATCCTATTTTTGCTTGAGTATATTGTATAGATGGAGGACTGGGGTAGGAGGAGAAGGGACAAAAATTACGAAATTCCTTGGGGAGTGGAAGGTTTCTTTCCTAACTACATAAATCCCTTCACTCCTATTCCCAATCACGGAGCTGGCTATTACTGATGGGAGAATACTCTATCTCCCTCAGGTGTATTTCACTGCCTTACATAATTATTTTAGAACCTTAATGTTTTCCTTTCTCTGCACTTCATTTCCTTCTTTTTTAGGGGGACGGTGTGGGGTATGGCGATTGGGGTGGTTTTTTTATTCTCTCTTCAAATGCATAAATACATACATTAAAA